TAAGCCTGTACCACTCTCTCCACTCTGAATGTTACTCAAGAGAGTAATGGCATAGCAAGATCACTTTTAAACTTAGTCTCCATTGCTTCTTTGTCACAGCCATATTATAAAAGCAGACTCCTGAGGTTTTTTTTCTGAATTGGGAAGGGAAAAATTTAAAAGTTGTGTTCGCTCTTTTTCAATTATCTTTGCAAAACACCCCCTAACCACCCATACAAATTAAACACAGAATTACCCAGAAGCATTTCATCCTTTGTGTTCATAAACTAGCAATCTTGGTCTCCAGATTTTAATTTATTCCAGTGTAATATTTCTTTCTTTCAATAAATGAAGCATTCCAGATTTTGCTTTCTTTGCAACAAAGACTACTTAAAGAACAAGACCATGAATGCACAAATTTTATTTACTGCAATTTCTTCATGCAAAACATGAAGTTATAAAGCTGCCTACCACAAGAGTAACAGCAGTATTAGCAAATTCATTTTTAAAGCTTCAGTTTATCAAGTTAATGGTTAATTAATTTATTAAAACAGAGACGAAAGTCCAGGAGCAAAGTTCCAAACTAAAACAGACCAATTATATTGGGTTTTAAACCAGTTTCCTAACTCGTTAAAAAAATCATCACTTGTTACCCTGTCCAGAAGCTGCCTTTTTTTTTTTTTTGCATAGGACTGCAAGAAAGTAAACCCACGAAAAGTAATGGATTGACTCCTAGAAGCAACTGTTTATAAAATGGAACCCGTTGTCTTAATTTTAAGTTTACTGTGCATCCCACTATATTTGTTTCTTTTAGTGCTAAGAAGAAAAAAAACAAGTTCCCACAGTTGTATAAAAGGCTGGGTGGGACCAAGGAGGAAACAAGAATCTGCACCACAGCCATTGCTCTGTTGTTCCTCAGGGCATAACACAGTCAGGGTATCAGCCAGCTCACTGTGGGCACACTGGAGTTGTTTCATTGCACACCTACATCAAATCATTACCTGAATCACGAGGAAAAAGATCACCCCTCTTGCCCATTATCTAGCTCTTAAAAAACCCATCCATTATTCATAATTATCTTCTAAAGCTTCTTCCATTTGCTATGTACAGTCACCCCAGTGAGCACTGTCTCCTTTTGCTAGACTTCACAAACTGTGGTATTTCAGACTTGCCGTGGAAAGTGAACAGGACCAGGAAAAGCAGCCTTTGCAAATGGCCTTATAAAAGCAGCATGCCCAAGGGCTGAACCATCCTAGTTTTGAAACAAGGTTTTCAAATTGATAGGTACCATTAAGGAGGCCAGGACACAGCACTCAGATGTCAGTCATCCATACAGTTTCCTGTTGATGACCTTTGCAAAGGACAAATCAATATTAAGCAGATACTATATCTACTATTTCTTACTGTGTAGGAAAGGTCAACCAATTTTCATGTATGTAGCAGTTCTAACATTACTGTTTTCAGACAAAGAATTGCTTACCCCTGGGAATAAAGCAAAAATTCTTATCTTCTCCTGCATATCACCATTTCAGAACATGTGATAGTTAAAAAAAATAAATAAATACTTGGAATGGAAACTTACTTCAAAAGCAAGATATGATGCTTAGAGAAGGATTGCAAAGCTTTACCTTGTTATCATGAAACGATCTTTACAAATACAAGCTAAATGAAATTATAAACAGTATTTAGAAGATTGTTTCCTTCACAAAATCTGGTACCACCTGTATGTTTCACTACAGAAGCAACTATTTTTTTAAAATACTAAGCTATTTACATTCTTTTTGTGCATGGCTGCTGCACCTTTTGTCATTTGTATGCACATGCCACAGAGATTATTCTACTTTTATAGTTCACCAAGATGGCATATTTTGAGAGAGGCTTTTAGCAACATACAGCTTTTGGTTCTATATTTAAACTTGATCACATGTAGCTCACTGCCAAATCCTTTTAGCTTCAGTGAGAAAATTCTATAGTACACATATTGCTACAATCTAGGAAATGCCTGGTGCTGAAATCTTCGATGAAGCATCTTCTTCTTCTAAAATAAATTTATTTGAATTCGTAAAGTATGCTTAATTTTAACATTTCACAGTATCTGAAAGTTCAAGGATAAACATCAAAACTCTATTAAATTCAACAACACAGTGTTCAAATGAAAATCCCATCATTTTGCGTATCTTAAATATATCACAAACATGAAACAACACCAAAACTTCAGTCTGGCTCTTGTTAGAAGACACTGCTGCACTATTTTCTATTGCAAGTGTTAGATCTACAAAGACAATGTCTTCAAATATTCAGAAAACTAGTATTTTTAAATGCTTGCATATGGGAAGAGGGTTATTTAATACTCCAGGTAATGAATTTCTGAGTTGCGTTGTATCTGCAGCATCATAAGGAGATAGTGCACTAGTGTTGTTTAGTTGTATAGAACTGGAGCAATGGCATTTCCATGCATCTGTAAGCAAAGTCATAAAAAGGATCTATAATCTTTTGATGCATACATTTAATACCTCTAGCCAAGGTTTATTACAGTTCTAGCTTCCTCATCTCAGTCACCCATGCTTAGTGTAGTGATACACACAATGTTAAAAATCTCTCAGCAGTTCAAGGGAAGCAATGTTTTTAAGAATAAAATAGTTATTTTTACTCTTATCGTACTTGAGTTTGTCAAAAGGTAATCTGTTTTGATTACTGTAACTTGAAAATCATAGAAAACAACCACCAACTCAAGAAATTAATTATTTATGCTATTTTCTTGCAAATCCATGTTCTAAGAGTGGTTTCCGTCTATCAAGCAAATCTGAAGGCAAAACCAAATCATTCAGCTTTTTACTGTAGAAGAATGTACACTGGCGTATTAGGAAAGTCTATTCTGATGCTGCTATCACCAAAATCAACAAATATAAATCACAGATTAAGCTCTGTGTTTATTTTTCGTGAGTTGCTTGTGTCGCCCCATCAGAAAATCATATTATCTTTGAGTCAAACACTGAAAAAAAAACATACTTCTGGCTGCAGCCATGTGCCAAAAGCAGAATTCAAAGCAAGTAATTCATTTTAAGATTTCTGAAACTACCTCCTGAATTATTCTTTCACTGAGGAAATCCAGTCTATATGCTGTGATGCAGGACAGACATGCCTGTCACCTGGTGTTGTCATATTACTTATTTTGATTAGCTGCAATGGCATAGAAGTATAGATTTTTTAATATACTTTTATTGCCTTTGAGATAGCTGACTTACTGACCATGGTCCCATCATTTTGCGTATCTTAAATATATCACATATTTGGGGCATTTTCTTCCTGAATTTTTATGACTACACCTTTTTGATGACTATGCTTTTTAGATTTTTACTGGGGAATAATGACTGAATTTCTATAGGCGTAGATGACAAATTCTGTGAGGTGTAATACTGACAACGTTCATTTGGATGCAGAGGGCTTTTTTTTTTCCCCCTCCAAAAATAAAACAAAAAAAGAAACAGAAAACCAATACAAACACTAGTACGATTTTCCTCATCTCCCATCCTGCTCTTATAAGAGTCTCGTGTTTCGTCAAAGGAAGATCCAAGCTGAAGATGTTAGCTCTTTTGAATTATCTATGTAAGTTACATGCTGGAAGTCTATTTCCTTATTCCCTAATAAGGGAGAACAGAGTACAACAATCCTTATTCTAGGAACAGGTACACTTTCTACTGTGCCTTCATCAGAAGAACTGCTAAATGTTGACACTGAAATACCCCTGAGTGCAAATGGCAACCAGAATGCTAACGTTGCATGTGAGCACACAGGTGTGCTCAGGAGAATCTACAAGGGTGTAGGCGTTGCTGTACCTGGCTGTGTCTGCTTTTGAACACACGTATTCCACATAGATAGTTACTGTCATTTCACTTGGCCCTACACTAACCGGTTGGCATACTGCACAGCTTAAGAGAGGGTTGCAAGAGAAACAAAATTAAACACTTGCTCCAGAAAGTTGGTGACAAGGCAGGAGGGACAGGTCATATCCAGCAGCATCTCCCAGCTTTTGTCTTGTCTCTTGTTTTTTTACATTCTCTTAGAAATGTCAGAGAAAAAGTAGCAGTAAGTTGTCAGGCAGGTTTTATTCATTACAGCTGTGAGCATTACACATTATTGTTATAGTTCCACTGCTACTAATTTGAATTCTGTGATGTGTGTTGAAGAAATCCTTGATTTTAAAGAAGATGATAAAACAAGGAAGAATCCCTGACGCTTCTTTTCTTAAACAAAGAGCACCATCAAAACCAGGAAATAAACTCAAACCATACATATTCTTCAATAAAAATATATTTTATAAAATACTAAGTTACCTTAAACAAACCCCTAAATCTGATAATCAAGTACAAAAGTTGTATATTTCCTCATGATGTAAAATAATGGTAAGAACTGTAATTTCAGCACACTCTATCCTGGACTTTCAGCAGGTACATTATTTAGAGATTCAATTCACTTTCTTCCCATACCCAGAAATCCCAGCACTGAATTTTACATTTACCTTTTCTTTTTGCTCTTAAAAAATATACTAAAACTACTTTAAAAGGTATTTTATTACTCCAACAGGAGTACCTGCTGTAAAGCAATGTACACACTCCCATAAACGTTTTATAAATTCTCAGAAGCCATTATGCTCTATTTAATTTCATCTGAATTTTAACCATATCCTTGCACTTAACTACACCTTACGATCTTACCACACCATCTTATAATCGCTTTTGAGAATCCAATTTCTATACCTTAATTAAAACTGTGGACTTATATTACAGCACTAATTTAAGTAAAGGACTTAAGAGAATTGGGACATCTGGGAGAAAAAGAACTGAATTTATCCAACACTTGACTGTCCAAGCACCTTGTGTTTTAAAAGTGTGGTGTTTTCTTCAGATGACAGATGACCCTCAGAAATGCTAGCACATCAAAGTCATCAAAACAGCACAGGCCTAATCAAAATGAAGACTATGAAAAGCATCATATAACATCTGAAAGAAAGATTAGTCTACCTGTATCGGACATGCTCAATTGTGTCATATGTCAGCTTGCTGCTGATATTCTGACTATGAGGGTTGCCTAGGAGACAAGAGAGATACAGAAGTTAATCATTAATCACAATTTTTCTATTAATTTTTTCTTTTATTAAAGTATTACACCAAGTCTGCCTGAAAAGATGACAAAGAAAGATTTAACGTATACTTCACAGCAATACCCTGAAGCTCCTTAGAGCAGTTAGTCAAGAGAAGGGACAGACCTGGAAACCAGCTGGATCACTTACTAACATTTAGGCAGTTCCATTAAAAAGGAAATGCAACTGCATATACACAAGTGTACTAGAAAAAATTACAGAAAGAATGCACATTCATAAATAAATTTGCACACTAGCTAAAAAGCAATTGAGAAGAGATAGCATCTGGAGGTAATAAACATTCATGATTGGAGAACAGGACTAACCCTGGGTTAGTCTCTGAAATTCAAGTAGCTCATAAAAATACAAATTTTATTGCAAAATTAGTAGCCACCTCAGCACAGCTCAGTACAGGCATGTATTAACAATTAAGAGAGCATGTAAGAAGGGCATTAATTTATCTTTTTGAGAAAAAAAAGATTATAGCAATATCCACAGAGGCACAGCATACTTTCCTATTAGTAAATGCTTAATGAATATGCCTCAATAGTTTTGAAAGAAAAGAATAAAATAAAAAGGTTATATTAATACAGTTTTTGCTGTAGACTGCAGTATTAGCTACTCTCTTTAAAGTTTAAAAAACACCCTGCTGATATTGAGTGAAGGTGTTAAACAGAATAAATTTAGAGCTCAAACCCAAAATCTAGCACCTCGACTTTTCGTATCTGATGTTGCATTTCTGTAATTTCCAATTCAAATATTATCAATTTAGAAGTGAGTATCCCTGTTACTTATATTCCTTTCCTTCATTTACACATGCAGCAGTTAAACTGCAGTTCTTCAGGCCTGCAGATTATCACCAATAAAATAAAAAAACCTGTAAGTCAAACTCCCTCTTCACCCACATATATGTCCATTAAATGAACTCTTTTTATACAACAGTTACTGCCCTCAGTACAGCAGAGATGTAACTTTAAAAAATGAAATTTGACTATATTAGAGTTCTTGTTACCATTTTAGTTGAAAGCAGTATTAAAAAAGATACAGTTTGTGCTCCCATAGTATTACAGGTACAATGCAAATCTGCTCCTAACTGGCAGCACTACTATTTCCATTTACAAGTACTCAATTGATTCACAAATTTATTTTTTTTCTGCCATAGATGTAAGGATTGAGCCCAATGTTTTTTGAAAGAACTAAGATCAGAGTGCATATGCTCATTTTACAATGGCTGTAGTGACAGAACATTAATTTTAATACCACTGGCGTGGGCTTGAATGGGAGATTTTGAATGTAATCAAATCAACGTGCCTTGTTATAACAGCAAAACAAATCTGTCCCTATGAAGAACAATATCTACTTCATAGTGGAACTTAATTCCACACTCTGTATCCTGGCATTCCTAGCATTCAAGAAACAAGAAAGAGGGAAATGACATGTACAGTGGCAAACTGAAAATAAAAAGTATGCAGAATTCTCAAGTGGCTCATGCAGGTGATGAGCACAAGTGTGTTGATCTTTGAGTGAACACAGTGATACCTAGTTCCCAAGTTTCCAAGAGGAACTTGGGAAGCAGCTACCAAGCTGGTGAAAGGTCTGGAGAGTAAGCCCTATGAGGAGAGGCTGAGGGAAATGGGATTGTTTAGTTTGAAGAAGAGGAGGCTAAGGGGAGACCTCATTGCTCTCTACAACTACTTAAAAGGAGGTTGTAGGGAGGTGGGAGTTGGCCTGTTTTCTCAAGTGAATAATGACAGGACAAAAGGAAATGGCCTGAATTATGATCTTCAAGGTCCCTTCCAACCAGGATGATTCAATGATTCAATGATTCTGTGATCACTTTGCTCTATGTATCAGGGGGCACAAGAAAGACAAAACTAGCTAGAAGGACACAGCCTACAGATGGCAACCACAATAACAGATTTTGATTACTTCAGTGGTACTGCTCACAGCGTATATAGATAATACTGTACAGTGTATCTTCTTTTTTTCTGGTCAAGCATGAATCACTCTAATGTATATTGTCTCACACAGTGACAGTATTTCCTAAACAATGTAAGCTGCTGCCTTGGTACAATACCATATTCAGTGTGTGGTTCTCATCTACATAATAATGTTCAAAGGAGAGGAAAGGTTTAAGTAGAGGATCTGGGGACAAAGGACTTGTAGGTGGTGCTGAAGTGCCTACCTCCACAGCTGAAATAGCTAAATCTCTACCCAGATATTTCACAGTTCTGTCAATATTTTTACTCACATTCTTATAAGAAAAATTTATTTGGTGATACGTATCTTTTTTTCTGAGTATGCACCTAAGTCTAACAGCCTGGGAGAGATACAGTACCTATTCCCTGCTTGAATTCACATGGGATCTTTGAGCTAAGATTTCTTCTAAATTAAATGCTTATACTGAGACACAATATAAGCTCCTTGTGATGACTCTTACCAAGAAGGTTCTGGATTGTCATCCTTGCATAAGAGATTGGTTTTTTAGCATGTTGTGTGGGGAAAAAAAAGAAAAAAAGACTGAGCAAACAGTGCTAGAAATATATTGTATTTGTTGACATTGTATTTGTTGATATTGTATTTGTTAGGGCATGGTGCCCTAACCCCTGGGCAACAGAGTCATGCTGCCTTTGATTTTTCTTCTTCACCAACACAAACACATTTTTAGCCACCAAAGAACAAGGGAAGTAGTGACACAAAGGGACTATAACTCCTTTTTAAAATTACTGGTCTTCCAACTACTCTATAGCACTGTTAAAAAACTTGCAGAAGTACCCTTCCAACAACTCAGGAGAAAGTTTTGACATATTTAGATGGTAACTTGAGACCATCTTGAGACTATGGTAACTTGAGACAAGAGGTGTTTTACACTTACCATAAATGTTGCTTCTCAGATCATCAGTAAAAGCTTTAAGGAGACTCTCTGGGAAAAGTGCTGAACCAGCATGGTCAAGGTACGTAATACCTAAAATAAAGATAAAATTACTAGATACAATTTTTTAACATCTTTAATTCCATTTTTGTACATGGACTACATTGTGAAGTGCACCATTCACACACTCCTAGAGCAGTCCACCACACAAAAAGTCAACTTCCCTAAAGTTCCTGGGCTATGGCATTTTCTGTGCCTGATGCAGAAGCCTCTACAGCTCTCAGGAAACACTTCTCAAATATGTTGCCATACTTAGGCAAAATTCACAGCAAGCATCTTTCACTCACTATCAGGAGAAAAAAAAAAAAAGAAAAAACCAGAGTGTAAATACATGATAATGAGGAGAGAGACTTTACTTATCAAGCCTGAAGATGAAAAACAGTGTGGGACCACTAAATAACTGAGAAGAGACCCACAAATCTGCAAGGCTAAATAGACCGCACAAGAGATTTCAGTACTGACACACACACACACACACCCTTCCCCCTGTCCCCCAGCACACAGTGGGAACAGCATCCTGTGGAACCATTGATTTTGGCAGGAACTTCCTGGTCAACAAGTTAAAACAGCAGCTGAGCACACTGTGTTGGAATGGTCCTGTGGTCAAAAGCACTCATGGAGTATTTGGATGGAGGATAAAAAAAAAAAAAAAAAAAAAAAAAAAAAAAAAAAGAGGGGGGGAAAAAAAAAAAAGAAGAGGAGGATACAAAAGAAGCCAAATATTTTTATTGCATCTTTATAATTTTCAATTAAAACCAAAATATTTTAAGAGGTCCTTCCTTTCAGATTTGGAAAAATCTTTTTGTTCTGCCTGTACAAAACAGAGCAAGCTGGTGTCTTCAGCCACAGTACTTTGTTACTCCTAGGCACTACTGATTATGAAAACTACTACTATCACAATTATAATAATTATTATTAATAGCAACAACAACAGTAGTACTGGCTTCTTGTTGACAGATGAAGTAACTTCCTCAAGAACTGACAAGGCCTTAAATCATGCTTGAAGCCCAAAGACAAGACTAATTTAGGTTTTAAAGTATTGAAATATTTCTTGCCACTGTGCTGCACTTAACATTCAATTCATTTTCCTTTTGTATTATTAAGCTATTGCAAAACTTTTAAATACAAGCTTATTGGAAACTAAGGCTTTTTCATGTTTCATCATTTTAGATTTCTTAATCTTTAGCAATTATTTTTCCATTTCTCCAGTGTGTTTCATACCCTTTATTAGTTTTTTCATTTCACTTACCTTAAGTATTTCAACCTACTTCAAATTTTCATAATGATGAATATGATTAAGATTAGAATTTATTAAGTATATTAAAAGCCCTCCCTTTCCACAGGGATTTAAAACTGAGGTAAGCTTTAAATGAGAAGCTTTGACACTTGGAAATATATATATATTTATATATTATGTTCCTGTAGCAGTGATTCAGTTGGTAAAGATGTGGGGAAGTACTAATGATAAAAACAATCTGTACACCCATCTCTCTTCCCTTATTTTCAGAAAGGGAAAACTCCCCTGCCTTAAGAGTTCCCCACTTACAGTATCTAGCAAAAGAAGAATTTTAATGATGGCTTGAAGTTAATCAAGTGTTTTGAGGTGCTTTGAGAGGAAAAGAGTGGGAAAACCTGGATCGATTTATCAGATGTACAGATTTTAGGTTTCCACATTCCTTTTTTTTAAATCCTAGATTGTTTCTCCCAAGTGGTATGAAGCAGCATGTACAAGCACATGGGGGTCAAAATGCAGATGGGGGTCGGTTTCTGACAGGGAATGTAACAGCTGCTTGGCTCACCCCCAAAACCCAGGGGGTTTGGAGGGCAAAAGGCAGGCGAGAGACAGCCAGCTCCTCTACCTGGCATGGCCTCAACCCACGAGGGGAGAGCAGGGAGGGGATGGCAGCAGGCCATGTGCACGCCGTGGCCGCCCTGAGAGCCAGGGTTGCTGCACGGCTCACAGCTTGGCACCAAATGCCTCCCCTTTGAGGTGAAGCTGAAGCGGGGAGCAACAGCCACAACCATCAACACGGGGGCCTGGCTTGATGGCAGCGGTCTGGGTAATAACCCATGGTCACTGGCTACAGCTGGGAGAGCTGGGCAAGGTAGGTCAAGAGGTGAGAAAAGGAAGAGGCAACCCTAAGCCAGAGACAGTGGGGAAGGACTGATCTCCTGGGGGCAACCATCTCGGGCAACACTGTCTCTCAATAAAGCCCACACAGAGATGCCATTTAGCTCATTAGCACTTAGCAGCATCAAAAGCACTGCCTAGTGATGCTCCTCTGGAGGCAGACAACTGCCAGTTTTGGATTCTTCCAGCCCTAAGGAGGTTGACAGCATTCAAGTGGTAATTCCAACTATACAGCACAAGAGAAAATACAAGCGAAAACCAGGCAACCCAATGAGACTCCTCAAACATAAACTATTCACCAACAAGAGAAAAGGCACTTTAAATCCCCACTGACACTCCTGTGAGGCAATGTGGACTAAAAGATCTCTAGGTAAAAGCCTCCTAAGTGTTTTCTTTAAATTTTAGTTGTTATTTTAATTTATTCATTATGTTATCCTCACTACAAAGGACAAGATTGCAGCTCTGTGAAATGGAAGTTAAAAAAATCAGCTGTGCATTTTTAAAATTCCTCATCTGGGTATGTTACTTTGAAACATGGGAGGACATTTGGCTGAGGAAGGACAATTATTAATTCTTAATTTTTTGTCATATCTTTAATGCTGCTGTTTAATTGAAAACAGAGATCAGCATTTAATACTCATTTTCCACTGCCCCCAAAACAGAATTAGGCTCCCTCATAACTTGAGACTGCACTGAAACAAGTTTCTGTATTGCTACTTCACTGCTATGCTGTAGTTTATTTTCTTTCTGTCTTATTTCAATAAAACTATATTTTTAAAAGACAGAAAATTTGACGTGCATAACATTGGCAAAGAAAAGAACATTTATAGCTTTCCTTGTGCTTTTCTCCTCTTTTTTAATAACATTTGCTATTTTTAACTTTATTTAATGCACATTAAACAAAGAGTTTTGTCAGTATATACAGAATAATGCAGTTCTTCTCTCACAGTGTGATTTAGTATATAATGCTATCACATGAACTTACACTGTTTATGGCAAGTAACAGGAGAAAGAAAATACCATATGATCAACCAAAATAAGATTAAAATGCAGTTATCTATCAGGACATGGTTTCATTGCTCAGGGAAAATGCAAAATTAACTTTTAGTTTAATTTACATACTATTAAGTTTGGAATGTGTAACTGACTTCATTTATCTAATAATACACCAATGATTTGATAAAATAATTTCAGAAGTAGGTTTTTTCTAAAAGGAGTTTCAAAAACCATTCAATGTGTCAGCATTAGTTATGGAAAGTTATTCAGCAAGAGTATCAGCTCATAAAATGTAATACTTATATGCTAGTATTCCTGCAGATTAATTTTACATTGAGAACTCTTTGGGAACCAACTCAGGCCAGACTGTCCCACTGAAGAAAGTCCCAGCCCAGCTTTCTGTTGTCCTTCTGTGCTACAGTTCACCTCTTTATAAAACATCTGCCATGTCTTCATGCCTGCCTTGGCTGTTCGTAAAACCTGGAGCATGCACATGCACATACAGCCTCAGAAACACCCAGGGACCATTTGGTTTAACTGAACATTTCTATCTCTTAAATTAAAAAAGACAAAGATACTTCAATTTGGAGCATTTTAATATTAGAATTTTAGACGAGGTGAGAACACTTGATTGTATAGTCTTCCTGAAAAATACACAAGGGAAATAAAAAGAAACTAACTGGATTTATCTTCTGGAGCCAAAATACCTGCTTCTGAGAAAAGCATGCTTTCCTAAAAGGTGACTGCACCTGATTTATAAAAGTTATGATGAAGTTAATAAGTGATCTTAAATTAGAAAAGAAATTTAAGGACAAAACATGATGAACTAAGAATAGAACAAGGCAGTTACATCTTTATTAAATCTTTAGTAACAATTAAACTATGTATGTGCCTAGGCCATCCAGAGGATGGTCTAGCAAGGGGCAGCACATAGAGACCACGGAATCACAGAACAGTTTTGGCTGGAAAAGACCTTTAAAATGGAGCCACTCTCTACAATGGCCTAGTGGCAAATGGACAATAAGCTTTCTCATGTTTAAAACATGCCTGGTCACCTGGCTTCTATCTGGTGAAATTCTTACTGCTTTGGTGTGATGTAATCTGCCCTTTTAATTCCTGAAATTGTTTTTGGTGCTACACATTTCTGAACTTTGAGTATCACTTCCAACAATAACCAATTTACCTACATTGCACGTGGCTGCTTTGTGTCCACCTCCTTAATTTTTTGCCATCCTGTGATTCCACCACAGTCTCCACAACAAGCTGACCTGCGCTGTGGTTTCACAGGTTGTTTTTTATAGGCCAGGCCCTTCAAAATTCCTGCACTGCATCTGCTTACAGGCTGCCAGTTACATTGCCAAAAGTTTCATAATGAAGAATGAAATGTGTAGTTACAAGGCAGTAACTGTAGAGAGTCATGAATTTTGATTGTTGGATATAATTGCAATGCAGTGGAATCATATACACAGTATTACATGGAAAGTAGATACAGCCAATGCCCTGGGGAGACAGTTGATATCTTAAGTGCAGCCATATTAACAAAAACAGATGAAACAGATTATATGAAAAGCAGCTGAAGGCAAAGTAAAGCGTTATCTGTCAAAAGATAAATATGAGAGATTTTCATGTACCAAAACAAAAGCAAGAGTAAACTGGCACAACCAAGTGACAAAATAGGGAGGAGAAGGCTCTACAGAAGTTACAGACAAGTGAGATATCATTTAGACACAGTGAGATTTTAACAGGTATTACCACATCAGGCATCTCAAGTTATTTTAGTCATCTAAGTCAGATGCCCTTTAGAGGCAGCACCCTCTTTCCATGAACTGCATAAGAATTTAGCTCCCCCCATGGATGCTCCTAATTTAAACATCAAAAGTAGCTTTAACTATGTAAAACATACAATCTTACAATGATACAGGGCATTATATGCCCACACACTGTGTAAATAGATAAAGATCCTGGTTAGGCAAAACCATTAATGAAGTACATTCAAAAAAATAATAAAAATGAAATAAAATAAATGAAAAATCCAACTAATATGGCTTTGAGATTCATTTTGCTGGGTATTTTCTGAATTAAACATTTACTGAATATTTCTACCTGTACCTTCAGTTCCTGTTTGGCGTTGATTTAGACAAAAGCTATCAAGACCAGAGTATGCTTTCTGAGTAACAACATTCCTTCCACCTAAACACTCATCTCTGCTAGACAAAGTAATGCTTGGTTTCCCTGGCTTAGGGTCAAGGAGCTCTTCAAAAGACCACAAAAGCATAGTGCTTGATGGACAAGGCCATACATGCCTAAAGTCTGAATTGTTACGACGCAGTTAACACTGTCCCTCAGCTTGATGTGACTCAATTCCTACAGGCCCAGTGAAGTGATGGAGCAGTCAGCCCACAGACATTGTGCACGTTCTGCTTCCCTCTGCCAGTCCGGAGTTCATCAACTCAAGTAATCACAGCTCTACCTAACTGCCAAATGCTGATCTGCACAGGACTGTGAGCAACCTGGATAATGGTATCAATATTTTATGGGCTGCTAACAAGTTACTGAGTTCAGTGGGAAACTGGTGTTTAATTAATGTATTTTAGTGTTTGACTTGACAGACTGATTACAAAAAGCAAAGCATGAAATGTGCAATTACATTTATCTGTAATAAATTCCCATTCTTCTTCTTCGTGTGCTACTGGCTTACATTATTTGCTCTCTTTGCATTATTACCTACAGCAAAGCAGACAGAATATTAAATCAGTCTACAGTCAGTATCATGTACCCTCTTCCCTTGCTGTATTCAGCAGGGGCCATACTGACTCCACAGAAACTATTTAGTGGCATGGATTATTCCAGTTAGCACTGGCATTATTCAATGAACATGAGCCCCTGCTTGCAGTTTGCAGGTTACAGCTTGCTGGCAATGAGATATGTGTGTGCACGAAAAGAAAGCAAGGATTTCATATTTATTAAGAAGTCACATCCAACCCAATTAAAGGTATCTTTCACAGCAACAAAAAGAAAAAATATTTTTAAAATTACATGCCATCAAATTTCATCATTTGCCAGCTTCTGTGCTAAGATCACAGTAAAGGGATCAGTCAGCATGCACCTTGGTCCATTTGGCCTGCCTGTAAGACACAGCTTTATTGAGTGGTCACTTTTTTCCTCGCTGGGGCATGACCAACTGCAGTCACTGATGTTATTTCTACAGACAACTTCAAGGGTTTGTTCCAGACCAGCTGAAGTCTTACTTGTGGTCATGAATCAGAGGTACCTCAGCTAATAACATATTGCAGCCTACTGTTCTGTCATTTTTGGATTAAATATAAAACATAAGTGATTCATACTTATGCAAGTCTTCAAACAACTGTAGCTCACCCAAACTGAAACTAGCTTTCACATCTCCCAGCAGATGATAGAGAAGGCTGTGGGGAGACCCCATAATGGCCTCCCCAGTACCTGAAGGGGCTCACAGGAAAGCTGGAGAGGAATTGCCTACAAGGGCATGTAGTGATAGCACACGAGATAATGGGTTTAAACTGGAAGAACGTAGACTTATATAATACATTCGGAAGAAATTCTTTACTGCAAGGGTGGTGAGACACTGGAACAGGTTGCCCAAGGACATGTGGATGCCCCCTCTCTGGAAGTGTTCAAGGGTAGGTTGGATTGGGCTTTAAGCAACCTGGTCTAGTAGGTGGTGGGATCAGTCAGCATGCACCTTGGTCCATTTGGCCTGCCTGTAAGACACAGCTTTATTGAGTGGTCACTTTTTTCCTCGCTGGGGCATGACCAACTGCAGTCACTGATGTTATTTCTACAGACAACTTCAAGGGTTTGTTCCAGACCAGCTGAAGTCTTACTTGTGGTCATGAATCAGAGGTACCTCAGCTAATAACAT